AAACTGGAAGTTCCCAAATGAGGAAATGGGCATTTACTGACATAGGAATTCAATCCAACATTAGCCACCTTCTCTCCTGACACACCAGTCTCTGGTCACCTTTAGTGATCTAGTAGACACCTCCCCACACACACCCCTATTGCAAAACCCTCCAATGGGAAGAGTCCAAAAATTCAGTGCAAATGTTCAAGTAAGTTTTCATATAGCCCTTGTGGCCCTACATGTGCAGGATCACTTGTTTGAAAATCTACTGATTTGTCCTGCCGGTGATATGTGTTTGCTGGATTTATTTTTCAATATAAATTAAGTTAATTTGCATAATGTGATTTGTTTAGGAAAACGTTCAGTTTGCTCTGGAAAGATCTCTTGTTGCTTTACAGAAGGAGTGAGCAACTTGTGGCCTTCCAGAAGGTTTGGCCTGCAGTCCCCACCATTTCTCAGCATTGACTGTGCTGACTCGAATTGACTGAAGCCATCTGGAGAGCAGCAAGTCGCCCACTCCTGTCTTACAGAGCCCTCATTTAGCATTTTTACTTTATGAATGAAGTAAACAAAACTGTAGAAAAGTCTCTAACTTTAGTTTTTGTCTCCAGGCACCACAAGAATTTGACCTGAAATATTTTAGGGAAAATACACACTTAATGTGATTTAAATGTTAGATTTTTGAACACTGCGTATAGTCAGCTGGTTTTCCCAGTTGCAATGTATGGCTGTGAAAGCTGGACCATAAGGAAGGCTGAGCGCCGAAGAACTGAGGCCTTTGAATTGTGGTGCTGGAGGAGACTCCTGCGAGTCCCTTGGACAGCAAGGCGATCAAACCAGTCAGTCCTAGAGGAGATCAACCCTGACTGCTCTTCAGAAGGCCAGATACTGAAGATGAAACTGAAATACTTTGGCCACCTGATGAAAAGGAAGGACTCCCTGGAGAAGAGCCTAAGGCTGGGAACAATAGATGGCAAAAGGAGGAGGGGATGACAGAGGATGAGGTGGCTAGATGGAGTCACTGAAGCAGTTGGTGTGAGCTTAAGTGGACTCTGGAGGATGGTGGAGGACAGGAAGGCCTGGGGGAATGTTGTCCATGGGGTCGTGGTGGGTCAGACACGACTTTGCAACCAACAACAACAACACACTTAATGTGATTTAAATGGTATTATGTAGATTTTTGAACACTTGCATACTTCTTTTACATTGTTTAAATTTAAGGGGAAAAAATATATTGAAAACTGTTGATTCACCAAGTTTAGCAACCCAAAGAAGTGGGCATACTCTGCTTACAACCACAAATCTGTTCCAGCAAAATTCAGCTCTCTTCCATTGAGGTTGTTGAGGCACTGACAGTTTTGCTGTTACTGTCTCTCAGTAAGAGCAAACAACATATATGTATTTTAATGACATAGATGTATTCTCTCACATCCTTGGTATGGATAATCACCTGAAAAACATTTATTTTGACTTTGAAATGGGCAAGCTTATCTAGCATGCATTTCTTATTAATGAGTTTATAAACATAATGCTTTTTCTGCAGAAAAATAAGCCAAAGGAAAAATTTCCTCTCATACCAATGACCTCGCACAAAACAAGTTTGCATATGGAGAGAAGCTACTGAAATCTTTCATTTGGGTTTACAAATGAAACTAGGTTTCTTCATCTAAATAAGATGGGTGGGCAACCTTTTTTGGCGCCAGTAGAGTAACTATATAGACAGTGTTAACTTCCTACCTAATGAGACCCTTTTTAACTGTCAATTTAAAAAATTGGCAGATTTATATTATTGTTATTATGTAATAAGTGTTACTGTTTATTAAAAGTTTATTGTTAAAGCAAGTAATACTTAAAATACTGTTGCTAAGCTAAAGGGCAGACTACACATATATTACGGGAAAGGGTTAACAAGTATGCTTATATTTCTGAAATGAGACACACAAGCATTATCTTATGGGGCTTTTGGTGAACAAATATTTATTAAGCAAAATTGTGCACCAAAATCTATACATGAGGAGATGTGTGTGGCACTGTATACTAATTTTTGTTCTAGATTTTTAAAAAATTGCACTTTGATATGGAAATAGGAAAAACATGTATGGCTAGAAAATTGAAAAAGAGGTATGCAAATCAATAGATGTGTCTATCTTTAAGATTAAGGTAATTCTGGCTAGTTCTACCCACATTCAAGCCCAGTGCAGGGATAATGGTTACAGTAAAACAAGGAGGTGGTGAATTTACACATGTATGGAAGCTGGGGGAAAATGGAGTGTGGGTTGGGCTCAGTGGTTTGGAGGTAGGAACTAATAATTCTGAATCAGACCCCTATTTCAACACCATTTTTAAAAGCACAAACACAGAAAAGAAAATTGTAAGCATAGTGTGTGCCTGAAGTATGCTAACTTAAGAAGTTTCATGGCATTGCTTCATGAAATAATGCATAAATTTGTTAGGAGATCTAGCTCTGGAAGTCTTCAAGCCAAGACCATGATCTAGAGAAGAAAACACTCAAGCTCTGGCTAGAAAATGGGAATCTGATGTGACAAGAAACTTTCTTAACCATAAGGGCAAATGAGATTCCTGTAGCTTGCGTGTAAAAACAAAAAAATCAAGTAATCTGATTAAGAAAGTTCCAACATTCATTTCTGTAAAATGTCAGATCACATCTCTCACGCTATACAAGCCAGGATCTAGAGAACCTGGAAACCTAAGTAGCTTTGAATTTTCTATTTCTCAAATTGTAGCTGTCTGTTATACTGTGTTTTGAACGCTGAGGTCTTTCAAAATGGTATGGGAGTAAACTGCTGAAGAAAAACAAGCCAAAAATCCCGCTGCACATGTGCAAGCTCTTGGGCTTGTCTGAAGTAGCTAATTTTGTCCCAACCAGTATATATTGTGTGGCCCTAACAAGGACTGTGTCCCAGTAGCTGTGGTAAAGCCAGCAAGTTTGCAAGGGAGGTGCCTTAGCCTTCAAACGATGAGAACTGGCTATATTCCATGAAGAAACAGCATCCAGCGGCCAAGTATTGGGTAGGGCTTGGCATGTTTTTTCTGAACGCAGAGCAGCGGCTTCATAACAGAATACTGTTTTCTGTACTTCATGCTAATCAGGGAGGGAAAGGAGCGGCAAGAACAGTGAGAGAAAGAAGGGAAGTAGATGGAAGTCCAGACCAAGATGATTCTTATGGCTAAGTATTTGCTGTGGGAGTTTTGTGCAAGATGTACTTCAGCTTCATGGCTTTTGAAGGCTTTTGAAGTATAAAATATAATGCGTGGAGGAGGAATGGATGAAGAGCTCTTCGTTGTGTTTCCTCTTTAACAGTTTGACTGACTTTTTTAATAACTGAAATTAAATGCAGTGGAAGGAGGCAAACATGTAGAGCAACTGAGGCAGTAATATTTTTCCACCTTGTTTAAAGTTCACTGTCCTGGGAGTGTAACATTTCAAGTCAGAGATAGAAGCATTCAAAGTGGGAAGAGTGACTTTTTCACACTTAGAGCATGGTGTGATTTGGAACTTTGCACTTCCAGCATTTTGATATCAGGTGGTCCTATCACTTCATCTGTAGCGTATGTGAGAAACAGCATGGATATAAACACCTTGGTAGCAGAGTGAGTCCAGTGAAAATGAAAATCAAAATACTTTGCTTTTGATAATACCATTGTAATGGGACATTTAAGGCACAGTCTTACGTTGGGGCCTGCTGGGAGTCGTAGGCTTTTTTCCTTTTTAACCATCTATAAGACTGTCTTCTTAGAGCACTATTTCTGTACATATAAGCTATACCATAGGTTAGGTTGTAGACACAGCTCTAATATTTCTGCAGTTGTCCTCATCTTCATGGTTTTGCGGTTCTGTAGATGAGTGAGTGTATGTGAACATATGTTTGGATTTTCAAAACTAGCTGATGCACAAGCAATTCAGAGAAGAAAGTTATATGTTTAGGTATGAGATTTTGTGTGTAGTTTTCTAAGACGCTTCTATTCTGCTTACAATCCTTAATAGTCCTCTTTTCACAGTTTGAATGCTTAGCCTGATGAGAATAACCAAAAAGATGTAAATAACAGCCAATTGTAACCCTCTAGTATATGGTACATTTTTAGCATAGATCAGCATGTCACCTCTCTGAGCTGATGTTATATGAAAGTACAGTTGCGTATTGCCAGCTTAGCTATTTCAGAAAGTTTATATTTGTGTGTTATACACACATGCACGCATACATGAGAGGAGCACACATTAAATATAATTTTTTTTCCCAATCATGTAGCTTTACAGTGTCTCTGCTTACAAAGTATGCTAATCTTGTACACCACCGATTGCCTTCTGGAAAATGAAAATGCTTTTTGTTACTGGTAGTGTTCTCTCTCTCTTGTTCTCTCTCTCTCTCTCTCATTGCAGAAACTTCTTAGAAAGTTACAAATAAGAAATAAAAAATGAATTTTATCAAAAAGCTAAAGGTAGGGAAATGGCAGCATTGTATATTTTGGTAATATCCAGGCTAAGTAATTACATCGCAATTAGGAGATATTTAATTTTCTGCCTCGAGTATTAAAACATTTTAAAGTAGTTGAAGAAGCTAAGGAGGCATGTTGGTCTGTTTATTTGTCAACATTTGTATTACATCCTTCCTTTAGGAAGCTCGTACTTGCAGTTTATCTTTGCAACAACCGTGTGTGTGTGTGTGTGTGTGTGTGTGTAGGGGAGACAGACAGATGGACTGACAGTTATCTGAATTCATCCCACAAGCTCTCATTGCTGCACAGGGTTTTGACTTTGGGTTTCGCACAACTGAGTACTATAATGGCTACAGCACAGCCTCTCTTGACTGATGTTTGTGTATCTAGTTGGAACTAACAAGTGCATACGGTTGAACTGGAGAAAGTATTTTGGCACATTGTAAAGAAGTGTCTGCCTCCTGTCCCAGAATCATACTTAAAGACTGGAGCCATGTTAGCGAGGCTTGGCTGCACTGTTTGTATTTTCAAACATATTAATTTGCTTCCCACTTTCCTTGCAGGGGGTGTTAATGCTTCCTTCCAGTGCCAGTTGATCCATCAAGACCACATCTGTACTGATGACAGTGACAAGGTAACTGGAATAAATAAAAAAAATGCCTTCTGGTATTAACATGCCTGTTTTCTGCAATGGCAAATCTTGTTTAAGTGATTTTTTAATATTTATTTTGCTATTCAAGGCACATTTCTGCATTTGAAACTGATCTTTTTTCTGAGAAATACTAGACACACCCATGCATCCACACATGCAGAATGATAGTGACTGGTCACCTATACACAGAGGAATAATTTTCTTCATCTTCCAAAGTACCGTGATACTATTGGGTTACCTTTGACTTGTAAACTATCAGGGAGCGCTCCACTTCTGTTTTTTTCCTTGTAATTTGGAGGCGGAGCAAAATGTTCACGTAACAAGATTTTAACTTCAAATAATTTTATGGTTTAAAGCACTAAACAGTGGAAGATGTTTATGCTAGAGTCCAAAGGAAAAGGCTTAGTTTATATGCATGCATATTTTTCTTCCAGATTATGCATGTTAAGCTATTTCAAAAAATTTAATGATGTCCATTTCCTATACTGATGTCTAAAATTGGCAAGTGACTACAAGCTTTGCATATACTCTAATTTGTTAAGATGGCTGAAAATATGCAAGAATTTGGTATTGGCACGAAATTCAGCTTCCTGAAGATCATTGCTGTCATTTTCAGGAAGCATGTTTCTAGCTATTATGGATGTGAAAACATGCTTGGAAGTGTGTATCTGAGATCTTAGATGCTAAAGAGGACAATGAAGAACATTTCTGGTGGTTGGGAATAGGCAGTGGCCCTCCATAAGATTATGAAAACATATTATGCAGAACATCATCTGAATTATTCAGAGAAAATATGCAAATTATGCAGGTCACAGGATTTGGTTTTTCTTAGAGCAATATTTGGACTTTAGTGCACCTAACCTGCCTGCTTCCAACTGTACTTTACCAGGCACTTGGCCCGGAGCAGTGGCTGTGTCTGTGTGGAGTGATAACCCAGCATTTTCTTTCCTGTTCTCCCTACGCTTTGGTTTGGCCAACTAGAATCATGCAATTCACATGAGTGGGTGTTTGCATTGCAACCTCATGGATGAAACTTCGTATGATAAGTCAGTTCTTAAGCCAATTCCCGTATGGCTTGTGTGGGTTTTAATGATGTCAGTGCAACACACCAGATACGGTAAAGAGCGCCCAGGCTATGTGGGAAGTGGTGAGCCTGAACTGCTTATGTTGCAATGTGGAACTTCTCTCTCAGGGAGAAATTACAGGCAGCCACCCACATGGATCGACTGCATATATTACATTGCCCTTTATCCTCTAATGCATACGGCTCATACTGTAGGAATAATTTCCATGTCTTCCTGATCTTTACAGGAAAGAGCAAGGCAAAACCTTCACATGCTATTTAATAGGTCCATCACACGACTCCTCATGGCTGGGAAGAGGAAGGAAAGATCATGCATGCATATCTGCTTGGTCTTATTCCCTCTTTAGGGCCTGGAGGAAGGAACTTCTTGCTCCAGTTCTCACCGTTGGCTTTTCGGGCTAGGACACTTGGAAGAAACTTGCTTTCAGCCAGCTTGGATTAGCTATTGCACATGCTGAAGCTGAGAAGTTTCTTGCTTTGCGGGGTATTGAGGAGGTTCTTTATATATGTACCAGCCAATCATTCAGCCAAGGAGAATGCTTCAAAATGTTGCCATATTTCAAAATTCTATTGTTCTGTCCATTAGCTGCCATACCTATTTGAACTGATAGGTGGATGCTGCCAGTTTAACAACACTTGGAGAGAAGCTAAAGTCAGTTAAGTTTAAAGGGGGATAGAGCACTGGGTAGCTTTGGAAAGCAGCGAAAAGATACATATTGTGTTTTCTAAAATTTTAGGTGAGTGTATGTGAATATATTTCCATGCTTGGGAAGGATGCTATCTGAATTGGTATAGTACCAGAAATGAACGATGGAGAGAAATGAATATATCTGAATAGTAAAGGCAGGACAAATAATACTAGAACAGGCTAAGTTATACTATTTCCTGTTTCTGCTATAGAAATATGGTGCAGTTGTACTCTTCCTCTTGCGAAGTGCCTTGCTTTGTATTCAGTTTTGATTTACTCAATTTTGCTCTGTAATATTTGCTATAAGCTTTGATTAATGGGCACCCTCTGCAGCCCATTTCCAAGATGATTCTGGCAGATGCTTCTCTGTGGTGCCTTGATCTGAACAGCCTACATATTCCAGTGAACTTGTAAAGAAAGGCTACATTGGAACAAATGCTAAGCCATATCTTTATGTAATGGGAATGACCTGCAGTGTGTCTTGTCTTGCTTCCTTCTCGTTTCTCCTGTGGTACAGCACTGAGATGCATTTGGAGGTTTTTGCTTCCATTTTTACTGAAGCACAGCTGTTTGTGTTGTCCAGAAACCAAATATTAACCATGACTTATTTGAAACAATCCAAGTTAAAATCATGCAGCTTGTTCTTGTCTAGCAAAACTCTGATTTACTATGTTGTTTGAACTGGCCCAAATTCTGGGCTTTTGAGTTTACAGTACTTCTTGTAGCATAAAATTTATTGAGGGACTACATGTGTGGATTAGACAGGTCATCTCTCCCAGTCTCAACATGGTGCGTTATATTGCACATGAAAGTTCTACTATCATCACAGCAACAACAACAGTTTTATATTTTTGGTTCGGACAGTGATTCAGAGTTCGGACAGTGATTCACACTGAAAGCCAGTGTGACATGTTGGTGAGAGTGTCTTGGACTGGGGATTTGGGAGATCCAGATTCTGGATGACAAATTTCGCTGTCATCTGTGCTGCAGAAGAGACTCCGCACTCTCGCCCTTGCTCCCTTCGCCACAGTAGGCACAGGTGAGAGCTGTGCTGTGCTGCAGGCAGAGCTGTCGCAGGTGGGGCAGACGGAGCTCTTTCCTGCCGGATGCACCCAGGGACCCCTGGGAGACTCACGCCGGACATCGCACTGCTGGCCGAAGAGCGACAGCCAAAGGGCAGTGCGCTGCCATTTGGGGCTGCAAGGGATTGGGCTGGGCCAGAGACTCTGCCCTGCCCTGCCCTGCCCTGCCCTGCCCTGCCCTGCCCTGCCCTGCCCTTTCCTTTCCTTTCCTTTCCTTTCCTTTCCTTTCCTTTCCTTTCCTTTCCTTTCCTTTCCTTTCCGGTTCGTTTTTCCTTTTTTTGTTGAGCAATGGTGATTTATTTGGTTTTAACTTGAGATGGTTTTACCTGGGGAGTATGAGGGCATGGTGATGGGCAGGGGGAGGTATGGCATTGGGGGTCTAACTGGCCAGCATAGGAGAAGGAGGGACCGATGTTTGATACCGGTCCCCTCTTCTGGTTACTCTCCCAACCAGAAGGATCCTGGCAGCAATGTCAGCCACACCCTGGGCCTGACGGTGTTGCTGTTGAATGCTAGGTCATTCCATAACAAGACATCCCTCATTCATGACTTGATCTTGGATGAAGGGACTGACCTGGCATGTATTACTGAGACCTGGGTGGGAGAAGGGGGAGATGTCTTCCTCACGCAATTATGCCTGCCCAGATACTTGGTACAACATCGATCATGTGCAGGGGGGGGGATGGAGGGGGGTTGCATTAATTCACAGAGCCGACATTCCCCTCACAGGGCTTCCTTTCCCTTCGAGGCCAGGTCTTGAGTGTTGTTCTTGATGCTGGGCGATCGAGACAGATTAGGGATGCTGCTGGTGTATCGTGCACCCTCCTGCCCAGCAGACTCCCTGCCTGAGCTGACAGAGATTGTCTCAGACCTGGTGTTGAGGACTCCCAGGATGTTGGTTCTGAATGTTGGTCAACTTCCATGCTGAGGCACTTCTATCCAGGGCAGCTCAGGACTTCATGGCTTCCATGGCAACCATGGGGCTGTCTCGACATATCACTGGCCCAACCCATGAAAGAGGCCACACGCTTGACCTGGTTTTCTCGATGGGGTGGGAAGAGGGTGGCCTGGAAGTGAGAAACTTGCCCTTATCTCCTTTGTCATGGTCAGACCACTTCCTTGTGAGGTTTGTGCTCGGGGCTGATCCCTCCCTCCGGAAGGGTGTGGGCCCTGTTAAGATGGTCTGCCCTCGGAGCAAGATGGATCCAGATGGATTCCTGAGGGCTCTGGAGGATTTTCCAGCTAATAAAGATGACGCTCCTGTTGATGTCCTGGTTGATCCGTGGAATGTGAGCCAGTGTGGTGTAGTGGTTAAGAGCATGGGACTGGGACTCAGGAGATCTGGGTTCTAGTCCCCACTCAGCCATGGAGCCAACTGGGTGACTTTGGGCCAGTCGCAGACTCCCAGCCCAACCTACCTCACAGGGTTGTTGTGGGGATATGTTGGAGGAGGAGATGTAAGCTGCCTTGAGCCCTTTGTAGGAAAAAAGGCAGGATATAAATTGAAAAATAAATAAATAAATAAATAAAATAGGGAGATGACCAGGACAATTGACACGATTGCTCCTAAGCATCCTCTCCCACCTAGCAGAGCCCACTCAGCACCACGGTAAACACCTGAGTTGCAGGCTGGGAGATGGTTAGAGCGCAAATCTTGGGATGAATCTGACCGAACACACTTACGTGCTTATTATCGAGCCTATACTGTGGTGGTGAGGGCGGCGAAGAGGCACTTCCATTGCTTCCTCACAGTGCCGGCCAGTGGAGCTTTTCCAAATAGTGCGAGGCCTAACACACACTGGCCAGGAAAATGATATGGTCGCACCTCTGGCAGCCCACCGTGACGACTTTGCCCAGCACTTTAAGGAAAAAATCGCCCAGATTCGCTGCAATCTGGACTCCACAGTTGATACTGTTCCAGTACGGGAAGTGTCCAGAGCTCCGTCTGGTCCATCTTTAATGGATGAGTTTCAGTTACCGCGGCCTGATGATGTGGACAAGGTGCTTGGGATGGTACATCCTATCACCCGTCTTCTTGACCCTTGCCCTTCCTGGCCACTTAAGGAGGCCAGTTATGGGATTGGCCCCTGGATCCAGGAGGTTATTAATGGCTCACTGAGTGAGGGCT